TCAATATTTTCGATAAACATAACGCCACATGAAAAATAATATTTAAACACTTAAAAAGGCATTACGCGAATGTATAAGTGCATTCGCAGCTATATTGACACGACATATTCAAAGCGCAATTATTAAAATGTGTTATTCTGTGGGTAGGATTTCGAAGGGATATTTACATGATGAAACATTTATGGATTCCGGCGAGATTCAATATTATTTTATCAGAAATGTTTCATGAATGTCGTTTGAGCAACGTTTGCGCACTTGCTGGTGCGGCAATGTTTGCGCATTAAAATGAATCATTTTCGCACACTGTACATACCACCCGCGCATTTTGCTTCTCCTTGCTTCTCGCGTGTAAAATAATAAAAGTTCGCGTTTCAAAGAGAGAAAGCAAACCAACTGATGAAGAGAACCAAATAATTAACTGCATCGTTCAGATGTAAACGGATTCACTAATTAATCATTTAATTTGAACGATTAGTGAGACGCAGCGTGTGCACGATGAAAAGTGAAGCATCATCTGAGTGAGTTGCGAAATTTGCTTCGCGTATTAGTTTAACGAGCTCTTTACCTTGGGACGACAAAGAACGGAGCAGGAAGAGTTTTCACGCGCTACATCATTTGCGATAAATTTACATCCATGAATATTTTAACTGAAATATTTGACTCAAGAACCATGAATATTTAAATGTTTTTTTTCCATATAAAACAAAAATTAAATAAAACAAAAAATGCTTTATAACTTTGATAATATTTGAGTTTCAACGCTTTATTTAAATCCTTCTGACGAGCTTTTCAAAAATACATTGCACAATGCATTTTTCTAGCAAAATTATTATTTTGCAAGAAGAAGTGAGTTTTACTTATTGAAAAGTGCACGATAGATTTACGTTCTTTACCTTCATTTTTGATACAACAACAATGATACTGACATTTATTTGACAAATTATTGATAGCCATACATACATAATAAAAACAAAATCTACATTTTGTAATTTATTAGTTAAAGATAATAAGAAATTAAAAAAATTGAATAAATCGAAAATAGTTGAAGGTATTAAAATACCAAGGATATATATATATAAAAGCTTCACATTTATCGTACAATTGTTCTAATCAAAGAAATTATCTACAAAGTTAAATGTATGTAATGTAATATAATGTAATGTAGATATATTTTATATCATAATAATTTCTATTTTATAAACAGATCCATAGGTATGAAGATAAGAATATCGTATCTGCTGTACTTATTTGGTTTAGTTAAGCCGCGATACGATAGCTTCACATATGGTATCAAGAAATGGCTGCAAACGTTTCCGATGGGGATGATGGGAGACGTGCGTTTATAGTTCTCGAGAACACATTACGTCGACGAATGACACCTGTCTCTTTATGACCTCGTTGCTCATCGATCAGCCATCGATGTTGAGTTCTACAGCGATAACCAATGGCAATGCTGGGCAGCGAAACGTGCCTAAGAATGACATTGCAGGATGGTTATCTGGAGTACTCGGAACGGCTTGAATATTCATTATTCGCGTTTCTTTCGTTCGATGCTCATCGATCACCCGGTGTCGCAAACGAAGCAACATAAATGATCGAGAGAGAAGGTGGCCGGCGGTAACGAGAGAATGCCGTGGTCCATACCTCCTTGCATATGTCTCGAACAATATGTATGTGCAACAATGGCCATTAATTACGAAGAGAAACGTGGTGCAGCGCAATAATCGTATCGTGTCCGTTTCATAAATGCGTTAAACAGTTTTAAAATCTGAACTATCGTCTTATACAGTTCCAACAAAAATTAATCTGCATTATTAACGCATTTGAAATGCATTAATATCATTCGATTTTTTATATTTTTCTATAAAGGTTTACGTCGTTTGTATGTCGTCGACAAAATAAATCCTGATGAATATCAAAATTGCAAGGTGACGCATTGCATGCTAATATCACATCACCTCCAAATTTTTCCGATGACTTTAAATCGATAGATCGCATTTTAAGCGTTATGATTGTCGCACCAATGGATTTAAATCGATGACACGATTCGGCGCATCGCATCAGCCGCATCGTTGAGAAATCCTCCGCGCGAGGTGCACGCGAGTTTGACCGCGTGTGCATGATGATACGGAGAGAAAGAAAGAGAAAGAGAGAGGGAGAGAGAGAGAGAGGTGCACGCACACTGTTATCCTTGGACAGGTTTACAAGATTTTTTAGCCTGAGGCACGCATCTGGGCAACCCGATCGCACGACTCGCAAGATAGACGAACATCGAATTATTGCATTCAGACTAAATAGTAACTAAATATTCTACATGTGTATTTGCACATACGTGCTCGCGAATATAAATCCATTTAATACGAACAGAATATATAATTTCACAATGTAGAAATATTATGTGTATTAAAAGGATCTCGTTTACGAACTAATCGGAAAGATAATGTGAGATAATAAATATCAGAGCTAATAATAATTATTATTATTATTTATTAATTATAATCTATTTTTTATATAAATATCAGTCTTACGAATGATATTATACTATACAGTTTAGAATCGAAAAGAGTGTAATCGTTATTGTATCGTAAATAAATATGGAACTGGATCGCCCAATATTTATTCTACTTACTTTCATTTAACATATATACCAAAGTATATATGTGTATATGTAATTACGACAATAAACAGTTCGTGACAAAAGACGAAGAGAGGCAAAATACGCGTGATGAAATCACTGTGCAATAATATTGACTGATACAGACACCGGCTTGTTCTTTCCCCGGTGTTTATATTGCCACGAGCGCTTTTTGCTACGCCTGGCGTGAACGCCCGCAAGGCTTTCTGACGGGCAATCATCGATTCACGCTGGGAAGCGGAATGATCTCGTGGCTGTCAGGAGGTGATAAAAGTTACGCGGTATGGTGATTTCCCCTTAATGATCGCTTCGAGAAACCGAAGACGGGATTGTAAGGTGAGAATGAAAATATCTGATGCTGCTTGTTCCAGGAAATTGCCATTGCACATCTATCTTTCACTGATCAATTTCGTTCATTATTAGGACAACTGCTATATTATAAAATATTAGCGCATAATGTACAAATTGAATAACAACAATTTTTTTAATAAACTTGTATATTTTTCTTCCAATAAATAATTTTAATTACTGCAAATAATATTATAAAAAAGTAGTTTATTAGTCTTTGTAAATAAGTGAAATTGATGCCCTCATAATATCATAATAAAAATTTATTATTAATTAGTTACGTTTTTTATAGAAATTGATTTGAATTATTTATATTAATATAAATGGTTAATGTGATAAATTTTATCAGAATAATCATCTTTACCGACAATTATACATAATCACTAAAAAAATACTAACTTGCATTATCTTTACCAATTGGATACTGGAGATTATTCATAATTACCAATGAATGTGATAAATAAAAGTAATCAAAATTTAATAAATTTACCAAAATTTCTAAAATGATTTATATTAATAAAATGAAATTTATTAAAAATTATTGGTAATTATATATATAATTGCCAGTAATTATGCATAATTGTTAAATTAATCAAATTTGTAGTAACATATATAAGTAGGTATTAATTAAATCTTGAAAATTATAAAAATTCTGAATTTCTTTGTTAAACTTTAATAATACATTGTATTTATTGTAGTTAGCTAAAACAAAACTTTTTTAATTACAAAGACTGTTTCAGAGATTTTTAAAGTTACATATTTTTAAAGATACATTTATATACCTGCGCAGAAAATTTTGCAAAAGTCAAGTTTTACGATCGCGTTGGATCAATCAGATTAATTAACCCTTTAGGGTTTCAAGCTCGGATTACAGAGAACTTGAAATCCTAAACCATTTATCTGAATACTTTTAATCCACGTGTCCACACATGTGTTGAGAGCCGATGCATGCGCGCAAAGAAATCCGCCGCCGTGCACTGACAATCCCCAATAATTGTACGCGACAGAGGAACGCGGTACGTGCGAGATAATTAATTGGTCGATTAATTAAACGGCTCGCGGCTCGTCTTTGAACGACGACGCGTCCGCGCCGGCCTTATTCCGTCGACCATCGCGCTCGATCGTACATCATCGCGCGGATGCGGTGCGTCGCTCATTGCTCGTAAATATAGTAATTCAGCGACACACGTTAGCGGCACCCGTATATTTACGCGTCGCGGTTCATTCACTTCCATTTACATGCCTCCCGTGACGCGACGAGTAATCGCGCCTGGATGTACTCCGCGAGCTTGAATTATTCGACCCTCGCGGATATGCGAGTATCACATCATCTATTTCTATGGATGAATCTTGCCTCCGCATATCAGTGCTTTCGTTAATCTTTTGATAAAAGGACTAGCAAAATAACATTCTTGATTGAAGCAATCTATATCGCCTTGATTAAAATTGAATTAAAGCGCGTTTGTCATAAATACATAAAGATATTTTTTATATTATTATTTTACTTATTTCTTTAATTAACTTATAAAATATAAATGCAAGTTGTCTACAGAAACATTTGATTCTTTCGTATAAAGAGTATTTCTTGTCTGCTCAATCTGTATCGATTTAATTTTAGTATATAAATATTTTTTTTATGTCTCATATGTATATTTTCATATATTTAGATAATTTTCTCTACTTGCTTTACAAACTTTTTTATTTACAACAGAAGTTCTCTGTCTGCAATGACGCACGACCTTTATTTCTCACAAAAAATGCGACTTAAACAATATCTAAATCTAAAATTCTTGTGATGAACTTATTCTACGTAATGCCTAACATTCTATCATATTTTAAATTCAGTCTGACCGAATTAGACTAATAGAGTCTAACTTCGAATGAAACTATTTGAGACTTGAACGTCGGAGGAGGTTCTGAATTCCGTGTTCATTAACATAAAGATTGATTATCTTATACCACATTTCCATAAATTTTCAATCATGTATTCCAAGTCGGAAGTTTATCTCATACTCACCCCGAATGATGTTTGGCGTACGTAGGGACGGTTGTAGTAATCGGCTGAAAGCCTTGCGCGCCCATCTCTCTTGGCTGATGCTGACGATGATTGCTATGATAACCCGCGTACGCTATTGCCCTGGTACCACCGTTCTCCACCATCGCCACGGCACCATTGAACTTTTGTTCCAGCATCCGTTGCTCCAGATGCCCCGATGCCGAATTTATCTGTTGCGGTGATCTCGTCGTGGAAACCTGTGGCCGCGGCGTCCATGGGCTTCTCGCGGTAGTAGTTGTCTCTCGGACGACGAGTTTGTCATCAAGGCGATCGTGCCTAGCGTGGGGCAGTCTGTCGCGATACCAAAGTGGCCAAACAATTCTGTGGCTGCGCGAGGGTATCCCATGATGATCCTCCAAAGACGGTGGAACCGAGCTCGTTGTGGCCGCGATAAGCAAGCTCGCCAGCAGTATCTTCAGGGTCATCGTTCGGCTTTTGAAAAACTTATAACGACTGCGCGATGTCCTGTATAATACCAACAACTGTACGAGCCGTCACATCCTCAACGGCCGCGGTGGACGCGTCAAGTTCGCGACAGGCTCGACGGATATCCGGATGTGAGATCCTCCACGGGCAGCTGAGAGGCACTACTGAGAGCACTACCGAACCAGACGTACGAAGCAGGGCCCACGTGCTTCAGCTGCACCAACCCCACCATGAATCTCTTTTTCTCCGTCTCGTTCCTTCTCCCTGTGTTTCCCTCTTTTTCCCGTTGCCACATTTACTCACCGCATTCGCTTGTGGCCCGGTCTGCCCGGATTCTCTTTTCTCCCTTTCTCCTTTCCATTCTCATGCTGTAGCGACTGTCTGTTCTCCTGGTACCCCACCAAGTCCTTCGGTAACCACCTACGTATCCTTCCGCGACGGCCTGTGCACGGAGAGAGCCGCGTTCCTCTCGTAGTTGCTATCTTTACGAGCGATAACACTATTCTGAACAAAGCTCTCGCGCCGGCTGCGAAGATATCGCGATTCAAAAACGGATATGGATCGTATATGACTCACATGCGGCTTGCAAATTCCACTATTGCCGGAACAAAGTCTGCGATGATTAACGGGGATGAGGTAAACGCATGAATGCTATGGTCTTTTAGTTGCACGACACATTCTTTGAAAAAGACGGAAAGATATCGGTTATATCGTTCCGCGATACTTAACAATCTTGTACTATTTAAAAATCAGTAATTATAAAATTCTACAATCTTTAAGACGCCATATTTCCCGATTTGAGACATTGTGTTTAACGTTAATAAGTAAAGTTTTTATTTAATAAAACTACAGGAGAAACGAAAGGAGAACCACAACAGAAAAATATTATGAAAGAATTAAAGCGCAAAATCAGAAAATAGGCTAATAAATGAAAATAAAACGTTTATCAAAATAAAATATGAAATACATAACAGTATGAGCAAAAATACTTTTTAGATTAGTATCATATTTAATGATGTAGCTAGAACAACAACATTCAACATATGAGTAGCTTGGAAATAATTAAATGCAATGCGATACACAATAATTAGTCATAACCAGAAACCACAATATCGTTGATATAATGATCAATGCGCTATGCATAATCTACGTTGCCAGCCTTTGTATCACCTATGACCTATGTTATATGGCCTCATTAACATGAAAGAAAGTAAACCGCAAAACCATAAAATAGAATAAAAGACTAAATATTAACAAACTAATATCTGCATAGAGACAACATAATAAATATTAATATATGTAGATATAAGAAGATATCCTTTAAGAAAAACATATTTGCGTTTCTATCTTCTCAATCATCAATAATTAAATAACATAGCTTTTACAATTCATACAATTATTAAATTCTTCATTTTTATAAAATTCTGATTAAAAAATTATTAATTTAAAATTATACATAGAAATAGAGTATTAGAATCTCAAATGAACAACGACGTTGTTTTCTAACAATCATCAGCTGTATATTGAAGAATAGAAGATTACGCGAAGATTATGTTGAAACGCTCGGTTCTTTTAAAGCAAAACCAGCAGCGTCGGACGAATTGCACCAGACAGCGGTCGATTTTGCAATGCTGTGAAGCTGGAAGTTACGCGTATTAGAAGTCCCTCTGTGCCATTCTCGAATCACTTCAAGTAACACCACGATGTTACTTGAGACCAAGGTCAGTAGTGCAGTGGCTGGAAATGCAAGGTCTTTGTTACCTTTTTGCTCGTTACTCACCGAGGACGAACCGAAAGGATTGGAATAATTGCACGGATCATCGTCACGTTATTGCCCATTAGGAGAGCATGAAGCACAAAGCTTAAAAGCACATCGCGACCGGCAAGAGATAAATCAATGTAGCAGAATAACATACCGTGACGTTCGTTCTCGCAAACACGATATACCCTTCCTACCACTCATGATTTCTCGAATAACTTTATCATATAACTATGATGAAATAAAAGCGAAAACTGTCTAAACAAGAAAACATATTTCAGAATAAAAACGTAAATTTTAGGAGAAAGCGAGAAAAGAATTTGATAATTGAATCAGTATTATAAATTGCGATTATGTATTCTTTGAATTTTTTGTGTTTTGTTATACTTTCTATTTAAGAGTCATGAATGTAGAGTATGTACTGATTTAAATGCGAAGGACACGATAAAGCCAAAGTAATGTTTCATTCAGACAGTGCCGGTGAACTCGAATGAAATGTTTATGATTAATGCTGCCGACACTGCCGACACTGTAGGAATGTTAATCGAGCTCACGGCGATCGCAAAAGTATCTTTCTTTTCATGCGTATACGTTGTTCTTTTCTCGGTGCGTACGATAAGCCTCGTTATCGAGATATCGTAGACGTTCTCTCATTAATTATCGTTCACCCGCTTTATTTTGCCGATAATTTGTCGGCAGTCCAACCGGTTCGTCCTCACAATCAATTGCAGGCTCATCAAAATGCGCGCAAGTAATCACGATGTTGGTAAACGATTAGTTATTTCCATAATTTGCTTTAGGCTGCACTCCCAAGTTACGACTGAATCTCCACATGATCGTTATCTAAAAATTAGTTGGAATTTTATCATAAATACTAATTTTATGAATTAATTTTTAAAATTTACTTAATTGAGATTTTTTATTGTAAAAGATCTCCAAGAGATCAGCATCGTTGAAATTTATTATTCCAGCTTTCTGTTGTTTTCGTCTTTGAGATTGGATTATTAGGTATGTTTATAAGAAAAGCACTCTGCTGAAATGAATAAGCGCGCGCATCTCAGCAATATCTTTCATAAAGTACAGAAAATTTCACTCTGTAGAGAGAAATAATATTATTGTAAATTGCTAAAATCACAACAACGTCATAAATCTTGTCTTGAGAGAAAACTTCAAAACATACCCGGGAATTAACCATATAATAGTAAGTTGATGTGATAATATAATAATAAGTCGAGCTTATGTGATAATATTGATATGAAAGTTGATATGAAAGACAATAAACTGATTGATTATATGACAATAGAGATTTAATCATGTAACAATAAATTATTACTCGTGCTTGTGTGCTGTTGTGTTATGGAAGATTAATGAGAAACTGTATATACAATATATTCCCATTTCAGTCTAATAAATTTTGCAATGGCAAGAATATGAGCTTAGAACAATCGTTATAAAATTGCAATAAAATAAAAAAACTCAAATAACTTTCCTTTATTTCTTTCTGTCTTGATAAAAAAATAAAAATTAATAGTTTGTTTTCTATAGTTGTTATTTATGTGGAATTGGTTTGTGGAATTAATTTTCTATAAATCTCTTTCTATCATATTTATAATGTTCTGCAATTAATTTACGTTACCAGTTATATTGATGCAATCTTCGAATGCAAATTGTACAAGGAATAATTTCGCGAATCATAATCTTTATATCTCGAGGCATGTATATATCAATAATAGATGATCGATTAGTAACAAAGCGCAGTTTCCGTCGCGAAAGCAAACTATCGAAGGAGTTAATCAAACACCACTTATATTGAACGTGAAATGTAATAAATTGCTTTATTTTCACATATAAATAAATATAATTAGTATTCAATATACATCACATTGATATTTTATTTATTTTAGTGCTTAAAGATATTTGCAATTTATTGCATTCTATGCGCTCCATAATTGTGAACGGAAGAGTAAAGTACAGATTAATTATAATTAACTATGTTTTGAGGTGCACGAATACTGCTCAGTACGGCATATTTCAATATTGTTCGCTATTTGTCAAGGCGATATCAATCATTTTCCTGATATATGATACTGACACAATGTGATGTTTCAATATGCAGTTTCTAATACTTTTTAATCTCTGTACACCCGATACATGACGCAAACACGAACACATACATCAGACTCAGGTCACGTATCCAGGTTTTGACCTACTGACACGATCCAGTGACGTCACGGGAGACGGGAGAGCAGAAGGACGACAAAAGGGTGGCAAGGCTGGAGTAGGTAGAGCTTCAATTTGACGAAGGAAATTTCCTCGGTACGCTCAAGTAATAGGGATAATGCAAAGACAAAGGATGTAAATGTTCACTGCAAAGTATGTAGGACAAGAAAATTTTTATGTCAGCATTTTTACTTAATATACTTAAATAATTTAATTCAATTGTAAAATAAACCGTAAATCCTTTAGTGCCATTTTTTATTTCTTTAATGCTACTTTTAAGTAATATAATCTATCTTCAATTTTTTAAATTTGTATACCTTACTTGTACCTTAAAATTCATATTTACATATTTAACGCAGAAAAAAACTTTTGAGAAATGAAAGAAATATAGAATTGAAGAAACTGATATTAATCCATGTGGTTTGTAAATGTTATTAATTACTTAATAAAAGCTACTTTGGATGCGTTCCACTTAACGCTCGCAACACTCGTGGAATTATTTCATCCTTGTTGTTTATCAAATGTTAAACAAGGACAAAAACGCACTCTTTATAATTTGTAAAAGAAAAGAGTAGTTTTAATTAAAAAAAAAAACATAAAGTATTTATTTTTTGTAATCTAAATTTTTCGTACAATATCTACAGTATTTTTTTTTATCGTTTAGTGCGATTGATTAAATTATTCTGAAAAGAGAAATTATATATCATTATCGGATTTCTGTATTTAGAAGGTTTGTATGCAAAAATAGGATATGTGGTTTATATCACATTGTTGATATAAGTCATTACGCATTAATAATTGTGAAAAGCTTAATCCTCAAACGAAATTTCGCTATATTTCACTCGTGTCACGATCGACTAATCGCCACGCTTGTTAGCTAACGTCAGACAATCGTCCAAGAGCGGCGCCATCCTTTGTCTAAATTCTCGCGCTCTTCCGCTTCGCTTCATATGTTATTTTACAACATTTTGTAGCCTGTTTACTTGTGTTTTTGATAGAATTTTTCCGCGTAAGCAAAATCACCGAATTCGCCGCGATCTCTTCCCCAAGGAAACCGACGGAAAGCTCAAAACCGAAAGATGTGATAGATCATCGTGACGGAAAGTCTCCATCATTCAAGAGCCGTCGGGGTCGGATCGGTGACAGCTTCCTGGTTAGGCTCATCGTCGTTCAGGCATCCTCATTCATTTTGATAACTGGCGACGATCCTGTCCCCGTCGTCAGACTGTCATCACGACGCGACGAACGAATGTGAGAGTCACTGCATCAGCAGTGAATGCGAATCTTTGGGGTAGAGATCGAAGAGATACATCAGGTGGAAGATTTAAACTAATTGTAGACATCAAAGTACGTGTTAACTGTATATCATTGACACATGATTAAATTATTATTAAATCAATTATATAATTAAGAATTTTCTAGTACTTGCATATATGTATTTCTTATTATCATTTTAAAATATATTAAAGAGATAAAATATTTATTACATAAGATTTATATTATTAACTACTTCTCCTTTCTAGATTCTTCATATTATTTGAAGTATTAAATTTTATTTTTGACAAAAATATCAAAATATCTCGTTATTCTCCGGATTATAAACACGCTATTAAAACTCTGGAAATAAAGTTTAAAAATATATACGTAAACAACAAAATCTTATTTTTTAGTTTGTTTAATTTAATAGAAATATTTAAAAACATAAGTTAATAAATTTTTAATTTTTTTTTACATAATTATTTGAAGAAAAAATAATTAAAATTAAGGGAAAAAATTGAAACACTTCATATTTTCGTCCAAATTGTATATGACATGGCAGAAACATTTCACAGTAGAGAAGCACATTCACTACTACATGCGTAACGTATGAACGCGGATCACATGTCCTTCCGGTTCAGTAAGCGCTTCCTCGAAATGTCTCCTCACATAAACCACCTCCGCATATTTTAACGAACAATTTGTAAGATTTATGTTACGTATTTGCAAGCAGAATATCGTATTTCCTATCTGCCTCGCGGAAACGCATGACTCACCTTGACATCATAGCGGAATATCTATATTTCTTCGGCAGCACTTGACTTTACCCTTGCAATTTTTTCATTGATTTTTCTGCTGCGTCAGACATTGTGGATTTTTCTGCTGTACAGCTTAAATGTGTAACATGTCAACATACACGTCTACCTTCTACTAATTCTGGTGCTCTTCCGCTCCAGAACTGATCGAAACACGAGATGTTTCAGTACCATTTATTTTATCGTCAAGAAATTTTTCCTTCACCCTTCCGTTCGTATAAGGCTCGTGTTTCGTATTCGATAAGAATTGAATCTTTACTTTTGTATTTATTTGAGCCGCTACAGTCGGCATTATAACTGTGTTAAATTATCGATTTATATCGATTTACGTATTACCAATGTTTCATTTCTCTTTCTCCTTCCTTCTAGAATAAATATGTACCTGTCGATACTTACATTTGCTTCCTGAGCGACATTAATTCTAATTTGTTTCTCTTGCGCTTTTTTACTTTAACAGTTTAACTGAATCTCTCAACTGTCGAAATACAGAAAGTGATCAGTTGAAGATAATTTAAAATCAATTTAATTTTGCAGATCATATTATTTTTATTGATTTCAGATTTCATCGCCATCTTTTGCGAATCAGCGTTCACGGCAATTCTATGTTTCGGATAGTCGACCCACCTCCCAATTTCAGGCAGAGCGCCAGCGAGTGGATCTATAAGGTCAGTCCTGACAGTAAAAACGTGCGGTCAATGCGAAATTTACCCCGGAGGTTTCTGCCAAATGGGTCACTCCGGTGGAAAGAAGAGAGAGAGAGAGCGAAGGTTACGACGACGACGGAGATGTCGCGGAGCCATAAAAGTCGAAACGCTGTCCAACACGAGTGAACGTGTTCGGGACGCAGTGGCTCTAAGCGAATTACCTGAGATCCACACGTGGATCTCAAGGTGCACAGCCTTGAAAAGCTACGATGGCCGTGAGATCGATCGTCCGGCCGCACGATGGTTTCTCGTGCGATCTTGAAACCAGTGTCAATAAGAAGTCGCACAAATCACCTGTCGACTTCAAAATGTCGCGACATTATTTTATCAACGACTTATCCACAGACAATTTTCCTTTTTATTATAAGATATTATTAATAAGTGATTGCATAGCAATTATCACATCGTAGCAATTAATAATATACTCAACCATTCGTGAACTTCGTTGTGGTTTAAAATAACTTTTGACTTCAAATTTATGATATGACATCGCATGTTGATCGTCACTCTCTTCTGCTCTAGATTTATACCGCGCGCGTGCTACCATTTAATAGATTCATCGCCGTTATTTTTCAGGTCTATGATGTGCTGCGGAAAAGCCTTTTATATAAAATCAATGTTTTTATTTTTAACGTGATTATTACATTATATAATTGTGCGAAATATCATATTGCAAGTAATACAAAATAAACATTAGTTGTTGCAGAACAATTCTTCACTTTTTTATCAATAATAGCTTGATAAGATCAGTTTTACGTCGAAACAAATTGTTATTAGATTGGTTAATTATATTTGTTAAATAATTATTTTAATATAATGTTTTTAAATAATACAAATAATAGTTTTTAATCACTATAAAATCATTAAACTTACTATTAATCTTATCATTGAAAACTTATTATGGTCTCCTATTTCAATTTTGTGAATTTATCCTAAGAAAATTAATTAGTGAGATGCGATTTTAAAGTCTTTAGACTTTAATAAGTCGCATCTGACTAATTAATTGTCCTCAAAAAAAGAAAGTACTTTAGTAAAAAATCATTAGACACTTGTTAATTAATTAATTTTCTGAATATCAATTAACTTTTCCCATTACTTTAATAAAACAAAGGAAAAGTTATTAATGATGCAATACCACTTTACAATAATCTATTTTGATAATGTATTTTAAAATTATATTGGATTATTTCAATTAAACAATTTTGACATTTACTTATTTGTCTTTAGATGTTGTTTCTCTGGTCGAGGGAGCCAACCCCGGATCCCAGAGCCGGTCCATGGTTCGCCTGGTTTGCGACGGCTGTTCTGTTGTGGCGTTGTCGACGTCGCATCACCAGAGCGATTTTGGGCATCTCGCCGCTGAGGTTGCTAAAGAGACGCGCCGCCGGTCTAGCAATCAATCAAAAGATGATGCTGAAGCAGCAGAAGAGACACAGCCTGGCCCAGCTAAACAAGCATAAGGCTGCCGGGATGCGGCGAGCAAAGCGATTGTGCACCGGCGACGGTCCGCACGTGTCCGGCAGTATGTCCATGATACAAGCTGGACCACAGATCCACTACAGAGTCACCAGGAGCGGCAGAATTTACGGCAAATACCCGAATAAGACCGCCATTCCAAACGGCAGCATCGAAGAAGGCCATTGACGTCATGTTAAAATTGTCAAACTCTCAGCTACTGTCTTTGTCCCTGTATAAATCCCGTGATCGTCATTGTCGTCGTGTAGTCGACATAATTTCATACTCTTTGAAAAGAAATAATCGTTCAAATATATGCTTCATATAATATTCTTCTTTTTGGCATAAATTTTTTTTATAAAAAAGGCATTAAATTCCTTTTAAATATTGTCTATACAAAAGAGAAATGTGCATTATGGTAATTTTTCCGCGCTTTTTAAGAATCGAATAGTAGAATTATTGCTAATTTACCATGTTGCACATATTCCACAAGGTTTAAGATCAACACCAAAACTTGGTTTGACTATATTCGCTATTTTTGTTATTGCACGAAATGTAATAATATAACGCAATTATATAACGCAAATGTATGTTTCGTGCTTGTGCGACAGTAAATAATTGCGATATCTTGTTTAATATGTTCAAGAAGTATTTTCTTTGATATTCAAAGAAATCTCTCCATAAAAAATCTTATTTCGTCCGTTTTTACATCCTTGACATAATTTGCGTATACAAAGTGCAAGACCTTGTAAAGAGGTCATCATGCCGCTTAACGTTTTGGATTTCTAACTGCGTTCATCTCTTTTGTCGACCAACCACGAATCAATAAGAGCTGGTTGCGTTTAGGGCGCCTAGTGCGTTTATACAGAGTGTCCCAGTTTTTCCAGATGCTTCCTATCAATTACGGATATTTTAATCAATATAGATATATTTTTTCTTAATATTAAGGAATCAATAGTTAAAAAACTCTAGTGATTAAAAATTTATAAATTTTTACACATTAATACTTCATGCACTGATGTTTATATATATATTTTTTACTTTTTTACTTTTAGGAAAAAAGTTGCGTTTTTAACGTAATCTAGTTTCTATATTCTACAAAAGTTTAAACAAACAAATTTTAACTGAGACATATCTCTTTGCTTGCACATTTAACTTAAATTAAAATTTTTTAATTCGTCCAATTGGAATGATGGAACGTTTAAAAACGTCTTTCCCTAAGCTGTCTCGCAAGCGATGTTTCGCGGAAAAGCGCTCGTTGGCACAGCCCAAGTAACAATGAAATGCTGCAGAACTTTCGTATCAGAGATGTGCCAATTTGAGCGGCACAATGCCCGCGGTTTCAGAATGAGCAAACGTATGGAACGTGTGCGTCGTCGAACAGAATGGTACGTAACTATGCCAAATTTAATCATTCAGTAGCAGGGCTACGTCACTGACATCGGGGCTGTACTCATTGCGTGTTGCTGGTTCTAAACATTCAGCAGGATATTTGTAACCTAATTTAATTTATTAAATTCTTCAGATATACCTTTCCTTCTCTATATGTATAAAAATATATCGTATCTTTCTCTCTTTAATGCTAATTTTTTAAATTTTAGAAGTTCATATAATTATACATAACATAAAGTATATAAAAATACACATTGCATACAAATATATTATTCTCAAAATATTATTTTTGTACAGCTAAATAGAGTCTCTCATATCGTAAAAAACTCTTTATTACTATATTGATTTCTTTCTTTACGTACCACGGTACTAAACTACGCTTTATAATATTAAAACATAACTGCAATAAGAATTATTTTGGTATCTTGATACATATTCATGAAAGAAAAATTCTTTATTACGTATTCGAGTTTTAATCAATAAGTGGGAAGCAAATGAATAGCAGACTATTTTTACATATAATTTACATTCGAGCAAATTAACCATTCAAATCGTATAAAAAAGAAACAAATAAACTAAAATTATCGCAAAGATGGCGACATTAACATGTGACACGTTCCAGCCTTCCTATTTTTAAATAATTATAACGTGGCACCGAATTAAATTCTAATGAACTGCCTAAATACCTAATTTAAATTTCTATTTGATATAATTAACAGTGTACGTAGTCGTCTCATAAGTACGGCCAGCGATTTTCCGGCTTTAATCAAAAGAGTACGAATAAATTACGAGGAGACTTCATTAACGTGTTTAATGATAGTTGATGAAGGGACAACTTGTCTTAAATAGACAAATATTCAAACTAGATTAACAGCAGCTTGTTGACTTGTAATAAGACTATAATTTTTTAATTAAAAATTTAAAACAAAATCTTATTGAAAATAATCGTGTTAAATAATTGTAGAAATTGTTTAAAATATGTTGTAATTCATTATTTTGATTTTGTTCTTTAATGTAGATTTAAAAGCCATTTCTCTTTATTTAGACTAATATTCAGCTTTTAATTATAATTATAAAATGATAATAGGTATATTTAATTATATATATCTAACATCTTACTATAGTATCAATTTTTTATTAAAACAAAAATTAATAAAATTGTTAATTATATATTTTTTATCGTAGAATAAAATGAAATAAGATTTAATTATATTAACGTTCTAGGTTACTAACGTCCTAGTCAACTAACTCCAACTTAACTTTGTCATATATATTATTTAGACTAGATCCATAAATAGAGAAAGAGGATTTAGTCAACTATAGTCAGCATAAACTGACTATAGCTGATGCGTGAGTCGCACCGATCGTCTAAGTTACCAAGTGTATCGATTCTCTGTTCATACCTACATCTATTTGCCTTGGAATAGACATATAGCTACGGAAAATCGACTATATACAAAATTTTTTATTAACATCGTACCAGTTGGTACTATAAAGCAAAATAAAAATTATTTAATGATAAATTACAATATCACATAATTTCTATGTCCAAGCTAATTATAGTTCTAATAGTAAGATTCTTGGGATAAGATATCTGTCTGTAGAAAAATATACCTACTAATAGGTCTGAGATATTTTATATTATAATTTTTTTAATATTCCAGAAATCATCTATAAACATAAATCTTTAAAATGCGACAGAGCGGAAACATTAAGGCGGCGAAGTAGCAAAATTGATAAGAAGGTACCTATTATGAGATATTTGATCGAAAACTGAAAGTATCAATCCAATAATCACCGACTCTTTTCGCTTTAATAACGCTGCGTTTAATAACCCCGTCGAAATCGCCGTGCTCGTGCAAGGGTGCAAGCGGACTCGCCGCGCGCGACGACGACGTTCGCGCGGGGCATTGCGACGGCAGGGTCGCAGCCTCGAATGCGCCACGAAAATGCCCGGGTGGGAAAGGGTGGATCGGGGGCGGCGCGCAAGCGTCGTCGCCGTCGTATCGACGCTTCGACGCCCGGGCCGAGGGAGAGAAACGGATTTCTCTGCCAGTAGTGGTAGAAGTCCCTGTCGGGGTCGAGCGAGAGTGCGAACATGTGCGCGTGTGCATAAGCGGTGTGCTTTCGCGAATGCATCTCGAGTAACATCTCTGCGTAGCGCGAAAAGAAATATGTGAGACATTGAGGCGACATCGTGTGATATAGGAAACAACGACGACGAGAACGACGACGGACGTAGAGGACGACGCGTTATCAGCGTCTTGACTGTCGCCACTGATTTGGCCAGGGTTCGCGGAGAAAAGTGGCGCGAGAGGGTGGACGGGAGTGTAGGAGATTGTGAGAGGCACCGGCGAGAGCTGCTGGTGCACACAATCAGGATGCGACCGAGGAGGTATGTGTGTGGCGTCGATCGAATCTGGTCAATGGTAACGGTGAATAGCGGCGTTGCAGATAAGCCGCTGAAATTTAGGATGCTGCTGGACCACTATATGTCGTCTTTGCTTTACTCAATTATATTGGGATTCGAGATATTCTGATACGTGGTTATTGTGTCGTTTCAATTCGTTACTTTTTATTTAGATTCTCCTATCATCGCGCGCGACAGTTTCCAGTTGATGATTCGGAAACTGCGAGTTAGAAAGGCAAGCTAGGGAATATTTAAAAATTTAGTTTTTGTATCTAATACCTCCCAGTAATCGAGTCCTTTGTATCTCAGCAACGAAGGGAAACCTTGCGCAATCATGTACGCAGTCGGTTGGAGCAAGCGTAGGTATTCCATTAATATTTCATGAAGATGATCATCTTAAGATGTGTAGAATGTGTATAGAATTCTTGAAGTTTTTGATGTTTTTCAGTCAGATCTTCCATTATGCGCTAATTCTCATATATCTTACTCTTTCACCTTACGATCTCTAACTTTATCATGTTTCATTTTTTACTAATAATTTTGATTAATTAATATTATTTAACATTAAATTCGATATAATAAAACTAATAATAATTTTACATAACTGCGTATAACAATGTTAATTTAATGCTCTATTTGCGTTAGTCCAAATATATCTCTTAATTAAATTAAATTAAACTGATTAAATAAAATAAATCTCCGAAACTTTTTTAACTACTATAAAATCGAAAAACATGAAATATCATGCAAAAATAGTCACTTATCAGCATATCGTTGAAACCATTTATTCGCAAAAGAATTTACTATCTTATATTTCCATTGTTTTTGTTTAGTTATTGCCAAATTGCTACAAAAGTTACTAATAAAATACACACAGAAGACATTAAAATTTCATGTTGCGAGTCAAGCACGCGGCTGTATCGCCCTGAAAATCTACGATGTGCATTGACTCGCGCGCGTCCGTCGCGCTCGTGGATCACCTCTTATCATGACACATGCGCATGGTTGGGCAAATATTCGGTTAACTAAACAAAAGGGAGTAGCTGCTTGGACATGGTTGTTCGTCACCGTGCATTCTGATATAAGAGCGTTCTCGCTCGGGCGATAATTGAAGAGCTCCGCCGGGAAAAGCGGTTGCTCCATGTTTTCTTTTTTGTCAGCCGCAATGAGACCATGTCGTTGATTGCCGTCGGATATGAGAATAGATAAAAATAGCAGCGGTTCGAACCCGCGAGGCTGTGTTCGACTCAGCCCTTTCATTCTTCGTGTAATCTCCCGTACGGCTACATATTGGAAATTTAATTAAATTAGGAAATTAAACTAAAGATTAAATTTGAGATTCAATTGAATTAAGTTAACTGTATCAGATTCCAATCTTTGTTCATCAAGAGAAAGGTCTAAATTTTTTAACAGGTTATTATTGAATAATTTATAGATAATTTAGGAATTCTTTCAGAATCTTTGGATTTACTGGATCTGAGACCAGAATTTTTGTTGATCACGAACAAAATGATTGAAAACAATGATTTCTACTTTTCTTTTTTTTCCTTATTTATCCGATTTATCGTGTTCTATATTTTATTGCATTACTCTGTTTATAAATTTCATGCTTAAAAATTATTCAAAAGTGTCAAAATTAAACATAAACGTCATAAAAAAATAATTAAAAATTGATGTGCATTTTATTTGATGTATTTGAACAGATACAAAATAAATCCTGGAAGAAAGTAAAACTGTTAAAATCTTTTCTAGCTTGAATATTCAATATCGTGATATTCAAAAAGGGAACTAATGGATGTATAATTATATACACTGTTTGTCTGGCTGTCGCAAGCTCGTACACTTGGCACGAGACACTGCCGTGTCTCTTGATACGGCGATTAAATATGATAAAATCTTGCTGATTATATCGAAGAACAATATAGATACAAAGATGAATTATGATTATTAACATAATAGGATGTCAATAAATTTGATAAAATATATCAAGATTATATTTTTAATTTTGAAATAGATAAATTAAATGTTGATTTTTATGATATTTATTAATATGGAATTAATATAGTATTTATAATTTTCTCAATCCTTTTTGCAGTCATATAATAGACACTTATAACTCTTTTTAAAATAAATTTCTTATTGAATTAGCTTTGTCTTGGCTATATTAATAGCATAATAAAAGTATTAATTTATTTATGACATAAAAAATAAATTAACTAAAATTATAATACAGATAATTAATGCCAGAGTTTGTCACAGTGCTTCTTTATTTATATCACAAATTTAATTGCAACTAAATGCCGCACTAAAGGTTGAATAATCATTTCTGTCATCTTACAAAGATAATATTGATATACTTTTCTACGAAAGAAAAGGACTATACACCGAAATAGTTCAAATCACCGTTTGACATTTCTCTTGCAATTTTCTGTTTTAAACGGCAAATATTACATATGTAAATTTGTCTTCAATTATGCCACGCAAAAACAACGTAGGCAGATACACATGTAATAATTTTGCCGTATACTCTGTGTCATCCTGAAATGACCGAATGCTCTTTCAATTGCTTTGATCGTTTAATCAATCTAAAGTCGATTTTTCCATAACAAAAAAATTAAGAAAGGTTATCGTTTATTATTATAAATTTTCCACTTTTATCATTACTTAAAAGCTTAGTAAATAATATCAGAGTTATGTTTAAATAAATTTTACTTAAAATTAACGAATAAATTGTTTTGTAATTTCTATTTGCGTTCCTAAAATTTTGATTATTTAAAAAGACTATGTTTAATTACAACTAAATCAAACAATATTGATCTTTTAATACTTTTATTAAAGTATCGTTGAAGAAAGTACATATTAGCCAGGGAATTAATAGTTAATTATTAAGTAATATTTATTAGAAATATTGTAAAAATTCAAGAAGTTGTTAGCGAAATTGGAAAATAATTTAAAATCTATATAAAGCCAGTAACGTGTTTATTGGCGTATTGATTGATGTGTTTTTAGTCGACATATTCGAGATTCCGTTACTCTGTGCTATTAAATGGAAAACGTTTTTATTATAATAATAAATTAAAAGTAAAATTACTATATTTTCTCATTAGGGTAACTCGGGGGAATATGCCACACTTGACAAAAATTTGATTTTTTTATTTTTCTTTCTTTTTGAAGTATCTTTACATACTGATCTTCTTTTTCCTTCTTTTATCTATCATTTGTACATGATTTTAATAAAATATTTTGAATACTTACTATAAAAAAAAAGAAATATAAAAGTGTTGCAAAATGGCATATTACCCAACTATATGGGTAATATGCCATATAGTATAAAATAATATACTACATACAAATATACAGTAATTTAACTTCAAAAGTTACTTTATTCATAAAAACAGTACAAATAGTCTTTAAAATAAATCTCTTAGTACAAATAGTTTTTAACATAAATAATAAAATTTTAAAATTAAATTGTAATAAAAATTATTTTAATATTGGATTGCAACAATTAAAATTAAAATGAAAAATAAATCTAAAAACTTTAAAACCTTAAACCTCTTACAAATTTTAAAACCTTATAAACCTTGAAATCTTAAAACTTCGTAAATTTTATAACTGACAGCTACACTTTTTTCAACTACATTTTTTTTCTTTTTTAGTCTTCCTCGTATACATTCGAGGCATTATTGTTTAAAACATGTGTTTTAAAGTGTGTAAAAAATGTGTCTTTATTACTTTCTTTGAATTTCAATAATATTATTAAAATAAAAACTATAATACTGCCAGGAAATAAACAAAACTTATGCAAAACGCCAGATATAGAACTATGAACAATTTCATGGTATTTACAAGAGCGTTTTTAGCCGCAGCTTTGTTAAACACAACAAGTGGCATATTCCCCACACTGGCATATTTCCCCGAGTTACCCTATAATAATACTTACATTATTAATAAGTAGATTAATTCTATACAACTTTTTAATTTTTATTTTACGTTTTAATATTAAAATAATTTCTTTTTGCTAATGGAAGTTTATGTATTATATAAATATACAATAATAAATTATATTTGTATTATAAAAAGTCATTCTGCTATTAATTCCCAATGTTAAACAATAATTGATAAGTAACAACAATTAAGATCAAATAAAAATAAGAAATTAATAAAACGTGAATTTCATATTTTGCCAAAAGCAGAAAAAGAATGTAACAATTCATATAAGCGCAAAACGTAAGCTATCCTTTTTTTATTATAAAAACATGCAATCAAAATTATAGTTTTACATAAGACTCCACAGATTCTTGCTTTTTTTCTAATTCTTCTACGTACTCTATATTTTAATAAGCGTATTATTTTTGCGTCATAAAAATATTGCATTTTTGCAGTAGGGGAGACCGGGGCGAAGTCGTCACTATTTTTACGGTGTCGTTTTTTAATAATAGAACAAATAATTTTAGTAAAATGTTGTATACCGTTGTAAAAAGTAAACCCTTGGCTACAAAATTTATAGAAACATTTTTGATCTACGTCGCTTTGTTCAACTGGTATATAGAGTGAAAACAACAAAGATGCAAAAATTGAAATGTCAAAATTGCCGGGACGGAGTTGTCACTCCATTCTCGGACTGAATTTTAAATAAAAATTTATAATTCCGATCGTAAAAAATGATAGGATACATTTTATTAATTATTTTTTAATAGAAAAATGGAAATAATTAAAAACACGTTGGCGGAAAATAATTACAAGAAAAGCGCACACACTTATATGCCCTCTACGCTCGCACGTTTCTCGTCAGCTCTATTCTGTCATCTCTGAGCACACGCAGCACATATTATCCAAGTCGTCGCCGGAATCCGACCACTGCTGCTTCTTTAACCTTGATTTTCGCCGGAAGCCTCCATGATATGGCTTGGTGACGACTTCGCTCCTTACACAAGTTTCAAGTTTGGTCACTCATAAAATATAAGAAATCAATGAAAATAAAAAAACTTTACTGGATTTGTGTTTACAGCATTACTTTGAGATTCGGAGACACAATAATATTTAAGATATTACAAATTTTCGACGCGCAAAAAATTTTACTTTTGACCTCCAAAAACACGTTTGCCTCGATATAAGAATCACAATTGCATGTAACCTGATGTAACCTCACTAAACTCCGTTGGTCACGTGGGCACCATAAGCCGCGTTTACAGTATTAATAGCGAGTTCACGCAACATACAGATTTCGAGATAATTGCAATGACGACTCCGCCCGGTGACGACTTTGCCCCGATCTCCCCTACTGCAGGGCAGTATTGTACCAAATCTCATCTACATCTACAATAAGAATACATGAATAAGTGTAATATTAAAATATTGCTGTAAAAATTTAAAATAGAATATTACGAAAAATTCCAAAATTCCGGAAGAATTTTATTAATAATTCATATAAAATAAAGAAACATAATATATATGCGCAAGGAACTTTGCTCAAAATAGGCCATTGGCGCACAGTATTAAAAAATATTTCATTTTGTAAGTATTGTTGTGTACATTATTAGAAAAATAATTTTAGATTCTGGGACGGGGAGCGAAAGAAGTTATATTACCTGTTATCAGCCTTTATCTAATTCTGCTAATTCATTATTACCTTCATTGTTAGAACTATCAGAATAATATAAAAATATCTACAATATACTCTAACGTAATTCTTATCACGTTTGGGTGTTTGCCGTAGCCTAAATACTCACATCAATGTCATATAATGGGCAACACCCAACAATACAAGCTCCATTTTTGCAAGTGTAATACGTTTTTATAGAATTTAATCTTTTGCCATTTCATTCTATTGAAACATAAACATGAGATTTTGTTTTCTTTACGTGTCTTGATTGTATACCAAGGATTTAGCTGAACAAACAAATGTTGGTTACCGCCATCACCACAGGGAGATGCTCTGGGCGTAGGAAGGTGAGGGATATTATAATTTATTATTAGATAGAAAATGTAGTGTTATTATAATATTTAAGTTAATTAATGTATTTAGTATTCAGTGCTAATTATAGCTAATATTATATATGATATTATATATAATAATTAACAATGTGTGAAATTCACCTCTCATCAAAGTATCTTTCCCCCTGTTTTTGGGACTTTAGACTATGTTACTACTATTTTTACCAACCTCTAAAATGCTTATAGAAATATGTGCCTAAAATCCAAAACTTCATTTATTTCATTATGAGTTCTGGGGCAGGAACGCACACACTTCTATTACATTTGTAGAGAAGGTTGGTAAAAATAATAATAACATAGTCTCAAAAATAGAAGGAAAGATACTTTGGTGAGAGGTGAATTTCACATATTACCTATATAATATTAGCCAATTGGCATACTAAATACTAAATACATTAATTAACTTAAATACTATAATATCACTAATTTTCTATCAAATAATATATGTATATTATATATAATATCGCCCACTTTCTGCGCCCAGAACATCTCCTCGTGCTGATAGCGGTAATGAATATTTATTTGTTTGTTTAGCTAAGTCCTTGGCATTACAATCAACATAGTCTATGTTCTTAATATATATATATAATGCATAATATATATGTTGCACCACATTTTACATTATTTTTTAAATTGTACAACAAGCGAAATTGCTTTCTCTGACGTATTTTTGTGCGATCAATGTCACCGCCAGCGAATGAAAACTGCTGGTGATTTTTTCGCGTTCTAACAATCTCGTCGGTCAATATTTATCGTACTTTTTTATGTTTGATAAAAAAAGAATAAAATGAGAAAATCGGTAGCAGAGTTACGCGCTATGTCAAAAATATCGACACCCAGTGGCAACGAGACGAAGGAATGGCGAGCGTAATTACTCAAGTCGTAACATACCTGGGGCTTCATCAATCTGCTTTTTATGTAACAAAGTTTCGATCGTTGCGTGTCAGTGCTTATGACGTTTTATTTATAATTAAGCAACCGTTATATAAACGATAATTACGACATATATCGATCTTCGAGTTGATTACGTCGCTTTCACGTGGGCAAATGCCCACGCTTCGGTTAGAACTGCATCTGATTTTGAATTGTTGCTGGTTGCAAATCCACTGAAAGGCCAATCCAATGGCAAGCACGATGTAATGCCCGAGAAACGTCCAATCGAAGATTCAAACTTAATATTAAGTTTTTCTTTGAACGAATAATATATTCTCGATACTTTTTATTTCACAAAAACAATTAATTAACTGAGAAATAATTGATACTGTTATGTTGACTATAAAATATTTTTTTAATTTGCGATTATATAATATTATACATTTGTAAGCAACATAAACGCTAAAAAAACTGAAGGGAAAAATTTTATAATTATTCAATTTTATCAAAGAAATCCTTATCATTCAAACACGAAGCTTTGATCTGTTTAGCAGACCTGGGACAATCCAAATAATTATATAATTTCCAAACAATTATGCTCAAGTCATACAAAAATAAATGTTACGAATAAATTGTACGAGTAAATTAATGGAATATTGAGTATTGCAATTGTAATACAAAAACATTTATATAGGAGTTGTAATAAATTGATAGAACAAATATTTAATTATCATTCACACAAGTATAAATAATATTCTTTAGATATATATATATATATATATATATATATATATATATATATATATACAAATAAAAAAAAAAAAAAAAAATATATCTTCTATTTTTTTTAAAGTTATATTATTAATCTTTAATTTTTTAAGCTTTTAAAAAATTTAATTTTTTGGGGTTATATTTTATTAACACTTAAATGTTAAACGGAATCATGCAATTAATTATCATACATAATCGACGCATTAAAAAAATACCTTTAAATAATTGCATAAAGCGCGATGTTCTTTCAGATGACGGTGCAACGTCAAGTGTCTCGATTGCCTTAGGTTTTATTAGATATACGCCATTATTGCATATTGCTTTTACTTTGTGTCATCAACGGTGCCAATGTGACAATGTATCACCTTGTTGTGCATAAAATGTGAAAGTTTCCACTTTAATTCGGGAAACGCGACAGACGGCACGATGCCACACGATACACTCCTCCATTCAGAATCGACTCAGCTAAATTATGAATGGCGGTCGATACTTAGGGAAGGAAACTGTCATGCGGATAGTCTGCGGGGTGTTCCCACCAGGGATGAATTACGTGGCTTTCGCGGGAAAATAAAAAGGAAGAAAAGTCTCTGGCGGCGGCGTGTGTTATCGACACGAACGATCCAGAAACTTGTCCAATACGCTCGTACTGTACGTTATCTAACAGATCTATCCTTCGGAATGCAATTTTCCTATGTAACTCTCTCTCTCTCTTCCCCCGCTCTCCATTCCTAAAACGGAATTAGACTAACACATTGATCTCAAACTTGAAGATAAATGGCACACGTGACGGTCTTAATTTAGAAATTCTCATTATTCTCCACAAACAATATTTGCATATTGTTGCTAAAGATAAGTCAAAGGAATATTTCGAATAATTCAATTATTTCTGCTATAAAATCTTTTTTTTTATGTCAAAACTAAATATCCGTTAATAATTATTGTATAATATTCATATCATAAAGCATTGGATTATGTTAATCCAAAAGACTATCAAAGAAATCTTAATGGCTACATTTGATAACTATAATATAACGGTAAATGATATCATTTTATATTCTAGATATCTTTATTATAAAATAGACTATTTAATCAAATACATTTTCGCAGTTGTAAATATTTATCCTGTATAATTATTATGATTTTTTTATGTGTTTTAACGTTTATATATTTATCAACTCGGTCAATATGTATTTTTAGATTATTGTACTGATTTTTTTCTGTCACGCCAATTTACATGTGTATGTGTAATAAATCAAGTGTTAAATTATTTTATTTTAAAACTGTTTCTGCGAAAAATGCAATTTGTTTACTCACAAGTCATGTATAATAAAATTTACAAGAAATGATAAATAAATAATAAATAAGATTAATAATCGCAACATGCACATACAAATTAATTCTTTTGAATTTACAGTGATACGGTTACATCGATTGTATATCAAGATCCTCGAAGACATAACTTCAGTATCGAGGACTCATTTGCCTAAGGATTTTAAACACGTTCCTTTCCAAGGGTGTGGAGTAGCCTTAGAAACATACGTAACCAAGAAGACAACCGTGCGGAAGCCGAAGGTACACTGAGAAAAAAATGTTCTGGCAGTTTAGTAAACATTAGTTCGTATACAACATTAGTTTGCATACAACTGTAACACCATTTATTGAAATGAACAAAATTTTTCTTTTTATTAATATATTTTTTTCTCAGTGAATACACATGTACTAATAAAAAGGAAAATTTTCTTTATTTTAGTAAATGGGGTCACAGTTTTATATGCAAACTAATATTTATTATAAAATACAGAACTTTTTTTTCTCAGTGTACAAGCTTCTGGGAAGGTCCAGTACCTGATAGCGGAAAGATCGCGAAAAGAGTGAAGGGTAAAAGCATCTAAGGGCGGGTGGGGGGGGATGCAGCTCGAAAGGGTGGCGGCATGGAGGAGCACTCGTTGGAGGCTCTCATGCAGGCGAGCCTTATCTTCGTGGTCGCCGTCGCTATCATCGTCTCGAATCTTCTTATCATCATCACCTACCTCAACTTCCGCGGTAAGACGGAATTCCTTGCATTCGCAAACATTGCACACTTCAAAATTATATAATGTCAATTTCAGTTGTCTATTTTAATTATGGTACTTATTGCTAGATGAGCATGCATTCAGTATTCCAGCGTATGCTCCCGTTTTTCTTTGCGTATAAGACAAGAACTTCTTTATTTGAAAATTATAAGCTGTATAACTTTATCGTTAATAAAACAAACGGACTTGTACGTTAATTGTACATTTTCGCAATTTGACAAATTTGCAATCTTTCTATTCCTGGATCTTATGTTTCCTCTCTACTTCCATTCTTATTATAATTTTGGTTTGTGTGATGTGAACTGCAACATTCTCCTAACGGTAAATCTTTGAAAATATCAAATTCTGGATATATTTATATTTTTAACAAATTTACATTTTTAAATTTAAAATATATTATTTTGTTAATTCCAAATAATAATATAAGAATTTACAGGTTAGAAATTTTTTATACTTTAGATGTTAAATATTCGAATTAAATTTCAAATTTTCAAAATTTCGAAATTTAAAGATGTTTCTCTTTGAGAATTCTTAAAATTAATCTTACAATTAGATTAATAATACTATTGATCTATATAATCCAATATAAAAAGAGAAATAAATATAACGAACTTGTGCCAATGAACGAATAGATATATAACAATAACAGTCACGTATTTTATTAAAAATATTATTTTATTTATATAGGTCCCTCCGAGGTGATAAACTACTACTTGCTGTCACTCGCCTCGGCAGATCTTCTTTGTGGTGTGTTAGTGGTTCCGCTCTCGGTGTATCCAGCGTTGGTTCGAAGATGGGTCTACGGAGACATCGTGTGCCGACTCGTCGGTTACTTGGAAGTCACACTTTGGGCGGTATCAGTATATACCTTCATGTGGATCTCCGTCGATCGCTATCTTGCTATCAGGTACATGATAATTAAATCTAATTACAAATAGATATATTACAATTAGGTATACCCCATGACAATAGCAACACATAGCTGTCTATTTTGTATTAACACAATGCGTTAATACTCTATTAAGAAATCTTATTGCTTCCTCATAGAGGAAGCTTTGTTTTCGTAAACCTCGTATATGAACCTTTAATTGTGTATAAAACTAGGTCTAATAAACGAAATCTTAAAGAATTATATATATGAAATAAGGGTAGAGAAAAGACCGAAGATAAAATTGTTTTTTCAGTTTTTGATACTAATGTGTTCTGAATGTTCTAAAACGTCGGAAAATTACCTTAAAAAAATGTCCGTATGTGTGTATGTGTGTACACATTTATCTATAACTCAAGAACTAATCAACCAAATGTTAAAGAATTATAGGGTAACTCCGGTATATACGCCGCAGCTAAGGGAAACTTAATTTGTCGAGTACTATTTACTATGTTTAAGGCAAATGAATTATATCAATAAAAACTTTATACTGTCTACTACTTAAAAAAAAATAGAAATATGAAATATTCATTCTTTGTATTTAGTAAAAAAAACTATTAGAAACCCTTGCATATTTGCCATATATATCCCAGAGGGGTGGGATATATGACATTTCATGGATGAAATATACGCCTTATGAAAAATTACAAATAATGTTTATAAATAAGGCAATAAAATGTCACAATAAGTTACAAAATGTGTGTAAAAAGTATATTAAGGGCCACTTCGATCAAGCTCCGATTAACTTAATCGTTGATTAGTCCATTGGAAATGACCAATCGCATTTGCTCATGAAGCAGATTGACGACAAATGACTAATCAACGATTAAGTTAATCGGAGCTTGGTCGAAGTGACCCTAAGATGTAAGAATGATAAACAAATTATACAACTAAAAAATTAAAAAAAAAATAGAAGAGCGATAGATGCATTAAAGATTATTGTTATATGATCCAAAAAAATAAGGAAAAAGAACACATAAGAGATTTCAAGTTTTACAAAGTGTCTGTACTATGGGATAAATCCCGCATGCTAAAAATGCCGTACATCCTAAACAGGAGGGATATACAAGACATCAAACTAAACAAAAAGTACAAGAGCTATGCATTTGTATTTTGCTGTATTCCATCATTTACTATCCCTCTACACTTATGTATCATGAAATAACCATTAAACCTTTTACATTCCCTACAGTAATGAAGGTAACATACAGTAAATTGTTAATCATTTTACGTAGTCGTAATATATGATCGCGCTACTTACTACGGTGAGAAATCGGTTCAACTAACGACGGTTTCGTTAATATTAACAATAAAAAACTGAAATTACAATACAATGTTAATATGGCATAAAGGCACATAACAGTGTGATTGCGAGTAAGTACCTTTATTCCTTCTATTTTTTCTTATTTCTGCGGCGTAAATCACCGCACGGCGTAAATACCGGAGTTACCCTATATGAAATAGGGGTAGAAGAGACTAAAGAATATAATAAAATTACAATAGAAAAATTGCTAATAATAAAGGGGTTTTCGATTTCTGTCTAAAAAAAATCTATGTGATTGCTCCAATTTCCGCAAATTTTGAGGTATCGAGTTCAATTTTTTTTATGGAATATATATTTTTTATTAGAGTATTATTAAAGGTAAGTTGGTATGGAATGTAGTAAGAATCGGAGAAGGAATTGCCGATTTCTGCTTAAAAAGTGTATAAGAAGCACATATGTAATTTTATATAGAGTTTGGTATTTTTTTTATAAAATTGTTAATTTTTTAAGAAATGTCCGTTGCTCTAACTTCCGCCAATTTTGAGACATTGGGCTATTTATAATTTTATTATATTCTTCAGTTTTTTCTACCCCTATTTTATATGTATGATTCTTTAAGATTTGGTTGATTAGACCCAGCTTTTTACGCGATCCAAGGTCCATATGCAAAGTCCATATAATATGTACTATGTAGCCTGAAGTCCCAAAGTCAACATCGAGTTGACATTGCGTCAATTGTAAAACCCCACTTGTGCTACTAAGCTTTGACCCTCTATCAATTCATAAAAAGGTTCAATTTAAAATTAAAAAAGTGTGCAAATTAGAAACTTGCTTCCTCATCATTACAGATCGCTGTCATTGCTTCTATTTTATTTCGCTTATAAAGCTTCCTTTATGAGGAAGCCAAACTAATAAATTACTAATAATTATGCATCAAATAAAATACAAGCTTCCTCATAAGAGGAGCTTTGTGAGCGAAATAAAATAGGAACAATGATAATGATCTGTAATGATGAGGAAACAATGTGCAAGTTTCTAATTTGCACATTTTTTTATATTATTCATTTTATTTTACTACATATTATAAATACCTTTGCTATTATGTTAGACACAAATTGTATATTATTATTTTTTAATTGTAGCAGTTCTCTTTTGTAACGTCACATCTGGAGACTCCTGCAAGATTTTCTTGAAGGCGTTTAATATCAGGTTCTAATTTATGACTTTTGCAGGAAACCATTGAGATACGAGACAGTACAGACGAAAACCCGATGTCAATGTTGGATGGTCTTCACGTGGATCAGCGTGGCGATGATGTGCTGCCCGCCCTTGCTCGGTTTCAACAAGCCGATCTTCGACCGCGAGGCCTTCATCTGTATGCTCGACTGGGGCAACATGGCCGCATATACCATCACCCTGTCCATCCTCGTGTTGGGACCGTCAGTCATCACCATCGTCTACACGTACTCCTACATATTCTCCACGATGAGGCGACTAAAGTCCGGCGCTCTAGTCCACGACAAGGAGTACGCTACCGCGTTATCCGAAAATCTGAGCAACCCGAGTCATATTATGTCCTTCGTCCTAGTGATGACTTTCTGGATATCATGGGCACCATTTGCCGGGTTAAGGATATACGCGGTCGTTAATGGACCTCCTCAGGTAATAATTCTTGCGATTGATTAATATTGATGAATTAATATTTGAAAAAGCAATTTTATCTTATAAGACATAAGACACGCGTGAATCTTAATATATACTAATATCTTTAGATTATATACTAATTAAGTATCCAATATAGTTGATTCATGTATATTTAATAAATAGTATTAAATAACGTTCCCGTAAGTAAATTTAATGTTTTACAAAGTAATAAGCTCAGAATCAATAGGAAAACAAAAATCATCTAATATAATGTTAAGCGCAATTTAAACCAAAAACAATCTGGATTTACGTTTGATTAACTTCTTCTGATTAAGTACAATTAAGTACCTACAAAATTAAGTGATTAATATAATAACCACTTCCAACTTGATGCAAAGAATATTACAATTTATAAACTCTTATTTTGCCGATAAGGTAGCATGTTTCTAATTCTTATAAAAGTTACTTTTCTGAAAACCCTGAGGACGACTGTAATGACACTCGCTTGACATTAATGTAATTTAAAAATAACTCTAAACTTTGTGAAAAAAGGCATTGAAAATGAGACGATGAAAAATGTAGGTCGACATTTGTAAAGCAAAGTAGGTTAATAGAGAAAATGCTCGCTAGCGTAAGCATAAGCGTAAGACGTTCGCATGCAAGGGTATACTTCGTGTGACACTTCTATAAAAAAAGAAAGTACAAAATATGAAATACTTCTCTAATAATTACTTGTGCATAATATTTTTTTGTTTTTTTTTTTTTAATATCGAGATAAACTTTATTTTTCTCTAATTGTTTAGATTTTTATTAATAGACGTCAATTTACATTATTGCAAGGAATTTATTACTTTTTGCGCTTCTATGTGCGTAATACCAATCACTAAAAGTTAACATTATCTATTTAGCATTACAATTGGCCTCAAAAGCGTGTGACAAAATGCAAAAAAAAACAGTCAAGATTTTAACTCTAAATTGAAAGAAAAAATAAACGGAGAAATTAATAAAAAAGTAAATCTTGATAAATTATGACAGTTATGTCTTAAATATCTATTAAAATATCTCTAATCTGATTCTATCTTACTGAATCGTAGGTGCCGTTTTTAAACTTTGCCGTGGTGTGGCTGGGAGTCACAAACAGCTTTTGGAAAGCGGTTGTGCTCAGTACACTAAGCCCCCAGTTCCGGTTGGCCGTGCGAGTGCTCTGTCTCACCATATGCTGTCGGCACAGGCGACTTCCGCCGGAACTCCTCGGCCTCGACGACGACGACTAACGTCACATCGATCACTCGCGTCTACGAGCAGCAACGGTTCTGTTGCGTTCTGTTCTGTTTGCGACGCATTCTTAAGAAGTCGCTTTCACCTTTCTTCAAGGATCGTCCTCGCATCTTGGCACCACTCGCAAGATGGTTCCTTAAAACTTCGCGCTCTAAATGAAAGGAATGAATAAAAGTCGCGAATAAAGAACTCATTATGTATCGGTACTGGCTTTTAATTTAATTAAAATAAATAATAAATAGAAATAAAAAATACATTTAATGAAAATTAATAACATGAATATTATATGGGATATCAAGAAAAAAATTTGAAATATAAAAGCAGTTTGTAAGCGCAGAAATGAAATTTTTTGGATTTTTAAGCGGGTAAAAAAATATTAAGTTCTAAATTCCGTTTTAATCATGAAATATTAATATTTTTTCAAAGAAAGAAATCTGTACTATGGTATCTGCATTCTAATTGTATTCACATATAATTGTATAAACAAAAATTTATATATGTCATATATTTCCCGAAGAGAATGGTTTTCTGTAAAAAAAATGTTAAATTTTATCCGCTTATGAAAAATTTATAAAACGTTGAGAAAAATCTAAGGTACAAAGAGCCCAAATTTTGAAGAAAAAAAAAAAAAAAAAGATTTGGAAAGTTTATTAATAACTTGCACTATATCTTGCTCATTGCAATGCTCATAGAAGTAATACCACAAAAGTAGTTAAACGTTCTTTACTAAAATTATTACATTACATTAAGTCGAGTATCTCAGATAATATAGACAGCTTAAATATTATCTAGATTGAACTTTATAATCTAAATAATCAAAATTACAATCAATATTTAGCTTCCCCAATTTTTGAAATAAAAATCAACATCACGACTATTTATACGAAATAATAATAATAATAATAATAATAATAACGCGAAGTAGTGAAAAAATGCGAGTGGTGCAACGAGCTTTGCGAAATTTTTTGCCGGCGGAATTCGGCGACTTCGCCGACGCGCGTCCATTTCTCTAAAAATAATCTTGCTTCGCTCAAACACGCTAAAGTCCGTTAATTAAAATCCCGTTAATCGGGATGAGTTTCTGCGCTGTATACGAAGATGAAACGGAGAATCGTTTTACGATATTTGAAACTAATCGTCGCCTAGTTTACGTCGTAAGATCACGCTCAATAAATGTCGTAGCAAACTATGCGAAAATCGTGAGTTTTACTAATGACTGTTGCGCAAGCAGATCCAATAATAAAATTGATCCATTAAACTAATCGACGCCGGAACATATGCGGGGAGAGAAATAGTCAATTAACGGAGATGCCTCTAAGTATAAATGTGACGCGTCGTCGGCGACGAGTTTTGCGTCGTCGAAGTGTCGTCGTGCCCGTAGAACACCCTCGATGAAAGATAAAATCGAGTGCCGAGCGTGCAAACGTTACGCTTTTTTGATGCGCTTCCTAGGCGCCGGCTTTCTATACGCTCTTTCTCTTTCTCGTCGAGAAGCTGCAAAATAATCTGAAATCAAGGCGTCTGAGCGTCTTAATGTCGATTAATTCGCTTGTCTCTTTTATTATTGTTAGTATACTTTGAGTACACTAACAAATATAGTCGTAAATTGTAGCAAAATTATTAAAATGGTATAGTTTGTACGGCTACTTGACTTATGGATATTTAAAAATATTAACAGCATGCTCGTAAAAGAAATAAGCCGGCGACCGTGAGTTTGTCAACTAATGCGAATAGAAAGTTGGCGAATTGCGCGTAAAATTCTCTTATATAGCTTGATAACTTCTATGACAAATATGAATCTCGAATAATTTTTTCCACTTATCGAGATTCGCTTTCGTTAACATGCTAGCGAGAACTGATTGCTTAATTATTCGAATAAAATAGGTTTTTCGACAAGAAAGAAAAGGTGCCTCTCTCTTCAGAAATCTAGCTGGGCTCTCATTGGCTTTCTTGACGCAAACTGCATTAACGAAATACCCTCGCCATGGAAATCAAAATATCGTCGTTTTAATCTAATTCTTAATTTAGATCACGCGCTAGTTTTACGAGCATTCTAACTCGGCGCCCGCTGTAAGCTTTATTACTAATCTTGTACTAAATGATATACATATACGAAATCGGTTAATGGCAACTTTTTTGCATGAGAGCGTAAACTATTGCGTCCAATTTTCGCACGTCTACGTGAACCATGACAACTCGAGACGCAATTTCGAATGTGTTTTGAACAGATTATGTACAAGCCAACTAAAGTTGAAACTGGGATCGATATTCCGAAAGAAGGCAGATAAAAAGAAAATATATGTTGATCGTATAGAAAAACTCGGTTTTGGAAAATACTTCTGTGAAAAAGAAAAAACTTTTCGACTGCTTAAATTTAGGCGTAGCGCAATCAACGAGTGCGAATGCAAGACACAGACCATTGGTTTCATTTATCTCTAGATTAACCACCCTTCGTCATCCATGTGGGGCTTAAAGCCTTATATGGATGACGGAACGTTAAAAACATGAAAATATATAAAAATATAAACATTTATTTAAAATTGTGGAATCTATTTATATACGACTCTGACAAAAAAACTGACAAAAAGAAACGCAGTATCTGATCATTTTTGCAGTAAAAAATGTAAATGTATATTATACATTGTATAACTGACATCAAAATCACAGAAAGAATTTTGTTTAATATTTGTTAAAAATAATTAATTGTATTACTTATTAAACTAAACTGATAGACATATAACGATTAAGAAATAGAAAGTTCATCATCTGACATTTGAATAAAATATCTGTCTGTGTTTTGTAAGAAATTATATATTCCAATACAAGAAGAATTAGCGAACGTGAACAGATTTGTGACGCCTATTAATAATAGCATGGAATGCTAGAATTAGGCGTAGCTAAACTGCCACGTAATATCGCTAAAATGAAAAGCGGACAATGAAATTTGCCAAAGTTTCTTCGTGGTGCTCCTGAATAGTGCTCGCGTGGATGTATGGGCGTGCCCTAATGTTTTCGACAAATATTAATTCTGTAAATGAAAATCTATATGCAAATCGGTGTCTAGAAAGTCTCAGCTTCTTTTTTTTACTATAGACTCTAATACACACATTTCATTCAAGTATAACTTTTCTCTAAGAAATTAATCCGATAGGAGTGTTTAATTGCTGTTTAATTCATGACATTTAAAGCGTTGAAAAAGCACAAAAGTGTTTTTCTGTCGAATGAAGAAAAATAGTCCGAAACATCTGCTCGTTATTTTAAATGCTAAAGATACTTAAGCTTTTTAGCTTGAGTGCTTATAATGGTAAAGCAATTTAAACATAAAAAATTACTTTTACCGTATATAAAATAATTTTTTTGTATAAGTAATTTGCATTTATTAGATATATATATATGTAATTTTAAGCAAATCACAGATAATAAGATTCAAGTGTTATTTTAACAGATTATTTATTTTAATATTTTTCTCAATCTATCTATCCTCACAATTACAGTGTTTTTTTTTAATGTTGTAACAAAATACATTTAAAAATTAATTTACAGATTTTAAATTTTCAGGATAATTTTATCGAAAAAAACGAAACGATTGGTTATTAAATAATTTATTTAATAAATCAAATAACAAGAAGATGTAAAGGACGCTTTATGGTATCATGATGTCTTAATTGTACAACGGAATCAAACAAAACTATTAACTATTTTCTAGTTCGAGTGTTAGTTGTATAAATCGGCTGAATACCTGGCTAAAAAGTAACGCAGGTTCGACTACAATTTAAGGAAAATTTCGGGGAATGTTCAAAGAGATTTCAGATGTAAATAAGAGTATAAAATCGTATAAAGTATGTCAAGTTGTCGTATGTTTTCGTATATATTATTGGAAATTGTTATATAAGTTATTGCCAGTACAATGAGTAACGGCGATGTAATTACATAATGGAATACTTCTGCTCAACCGTGAAAACTTAATACCAAACAACCGCATTACTTATTGCGCTGATAATAATACAAATAAAAATGATAAAAGCAAACATAATTTGTGTTATTAACGTACACTTTTCCGGTCCCAACAATGTTTCCCCAGAAAGATTCCATATGTTTTCGAACTGTGACAATTTTTGGCCAGACTCGGCTATGACGCACTAACAGATTTTATTGCGTATATCTCTTCGTACGCATATAATTGCTCGTGATTCGGTTCTCTCGTCCAGATCCGAATATCAAAGCTTTACTTTTGTACTCTAACTTCACCGCTGCGCAGTGGTTCGAGTGGTTCGAGATTATCATGTAGCATTGAACAACTTCTCTTTCTCTCTTCAGATAGAATATATACGTCGCTCTCTCTGCGTCTTTTATTTTAGTATCTACAATTAACTCTAATATCACACTGGACTTTCACGGCCATTTAGATTTCAAAAATTTTTCAAATATTTGAAATATTCTAAAACTTTTAAAACATAGTTCAATATTAATTATATATTAATTAAATTTTTATTTAGCGTTTTAGATAAAAATGTCATTAAGATATTACAAAAAATTTATAATTCAAATAGTTTATATTAAATAATAACTTATATTTCACTTCAAACATAAAAGGCATTGGCATCAGATTTCCAGCACCTAAAAACCCGCATAAGACTTTTGCAAATAATTTAATAAGCGAGATAATTATTTCATTATAAATTTATTTATAATACAACAAATAATATTTATAAAAAGATTTTAAGTATCTAACAATTTTTATTTGAAATAAGACCATTTATAATAATTATTCCACGTAATTTCGTTGTGATCTTACAGTTAAATATCTAATTAAATCAATAATTAAATAAAATTCACAGTTTATTTTTCTTTATATGGTTAACTGTTCGTGATTCTACTAAATTATATGCCATAAAAATAAATCTCGCGCCACTCTGCACACGTGGATTCGCCAAATTCGAGCAGTATTAAATTTCTCAGCAATTACGACATTCTAAATATGTGAAAGTCGCTCAAAAGGAAAGTGAAGAATGATTGCACGTGAGACAGTAAGAATTGAAAGAAAACAAGAACCGCTCGTCCAAGTGGATTTTATTGTTGGTGGTCGATAGAGAAATGAGTTTGCCGATGATAGAAAAATAAATAAGTGACGAGAAAGACGCGAGGAAGAATGCAAAAGAAAATAATGAGCGAACAGAATTGGTCCCTGGCAGTTTCCCGGGCGGCCTCCATTATTAACGATTAATTACATTTTTGTACCTAGCTGTTAGTTTTTTGTACTAGTTTTGTAACGTACCTCATCACGAG